CTCTCTGTGTTAATATTAGAAGGCGATTGGAAGGGATTAAATATACCGGAAGCTCAATCTTCCCTCACCGTTGGCGACAGTGACGTTCAAGCCGAGGGATCGACCACACTGGATCATCTTTCCGAGGTGTAATTTCGAGTCCGGGAGTACCTTCGTAGGAATGATCATCGTAATCGAATACGTGACGTGACACCGTTTCCCGTATTCTGCAGTTTTTCTTGTTACGCGAACACTCGTTCCTTATGTATTTCCTCGGTTGCTATATTTCCGCCGGACGTTCAGCAACGGACGCCACCGGACAGATGAGAACGAACGAACGGTAAACCGTCGTATCGAATCGAGAAATTTATCGTTGCCGAAGTAACGAGCCCGCCAATGCAAAATTGAAAAAAAAAAAAATATCTGAGGCGGCGCGCGTGTCTTCCTCACGTCGCACTTTTTCCTATTATTCGTATTATACAATTAAAATGAATATACGTTCAATTTGTTGCGCACTGCTAACCCACTTTTCAAAGAGCAAAGAGAAGAACGAGCGTGAAAAACGTCGATTGAAGAAGATGAGATTTAGCTTAATAATTAGATTCGGATAATGAAACTTATTCGAGGCATCGATTAATTTCTCCGAGTTTTTATTTTAAAAAACCGTCTCCGGATTACCATTTCAAAGTCTTTGTTCGATCTTCTTACAGTAAATATCATAGTTTCCATTAGGACGCTATTACTTAAATGGCGACAGGCGTTGCTGAAGATTTCGCCGGCGATAATTTAAAGACGTCGACACGGATGACGCTTGTGCGGGAAAACTTTTGAGATTACGAGTCGCCGACTTAAGGCCGGCGTCTTAAACCGTTTTATCGCGGCATCAGCGGGCTGGTTTGTCCGCGACTTAAAGAACCCGGAGGGTCCATGTGTATATCCATGTGTGCATGTGTGCGCGCGCGCGCGCGTGTGTGTGTGTGTGTGTAAAATCTGCTTTTACGCTCGCGCGACAAGTGCGGCAATAAAAGCGTCATTACCATTTCTTCTGAAGCGACGCATCGGAGAGACGAGTGCGCGGGCTTTTACGACTGGTACGAAATTTATAATCGTTGTCCGAGCGTTGTATCGCGCCGAGTACTGCGAGAGCCGAGAGACTGTGGAATTTCGCCTGAGGTATAATAATCTCGCCGGGGGAAAATGATGTCGCGCGAGGCGCGGGACTTGCCGGGTACCGCTTGATGCGATCATTTCCCGGCGCCGTCGAATATAAAAACACGTGGACGTTCGCGCTGAAGATTCCCAGAACGATAACTCCGACCGTGGCTCATTTCGGACTTCGGGAACGGACTCCGTCGGACGCGGGACGAGATACCCCCATCCACCACCTCTCTCATAATCCTCCCCCGGTTGTGTGTTGTCACCCGTCGTTTTAGCATGGCACCGAGAAGCGTGCCGTAACTCTCGACAAGTCGAACGTAAAGTTTACGAGGCCGGATGAGCGCAGTTGCGTGATAAATTTCACGGGCAAATCTGGTGAGTTATGCGCGCGACGTACATATAACATTCCTACGTCGTGCTTATGCCCATCGCGATAAGTGCGATGGAGAGAGAGAGAGAGAGAGAGAGAGAGAGAGAGAGAGAGAGAGAGAGAGAGAGAGAGAGAGAGAGAGAGAGAGAGAGAGAGAGAGAGAGAGAGAGAGAGAGAGAGAGAGAGAGAGAG